GGGGGTGCAGGGGCCGGGGTTCGGGTGCAGGGGCCGGGGTTCGGGTGTAGGGGAGGGGACGGGGGTACCAGGGGTTGGGGCTGTTGCAGGAGTCAAGTGGTGGAGGCAGGGGTCTGGGATGCCCCAGCCACGGGTCCAGGGGTCGAACCTCAACCCCGGCTCAACCCCCAGCGATCACCTATTGCGGGGGTCCGGGGTCGGGCTGCAGGAGTCGGGGGTTCACTGTTCAGTCCCAGTAGAGCCTCCTGTCCGTTGGCCAGGCGGGCGGACGTGCATGCTGTCGTCACCCAACAGAGCTGGGGCTCTTACAAAAAAAAAAAAAAAAAAAAAAAAAAAAGAAGCTGGCCACCCTCGCCAAAAGGGTGGCTGCCCTTCAAACGGACGCGCCGACCTTCTGGAGCATGGTGCCATTAGCAGTCGGATAGGAGTGTGGCCGATCCAGCGTAACTCTGAGTGGCAATGGGCTTACAGGTTCATTACGAATTTCTGGGATGAGAAAAAAAAAAAAAGAAACAGAGACCTGCCACCAGAAATCAGGGCAGAGTGCTTCCCAGCCATCAGATCACAAGATGATCTGATGGTGGTGGTTGCCACAACAGTGAACAAAGTAACTGCCACATTTTTCTCTGCAATAAACTCGACTTGTGTCAGCAGTCGTCATGATTCATGACGCCCTCGGAGTTTGGAATTAAAAAACAATAGTAATAATAATAATAATAATAATACTAATAATAATAAAATATAAAAAAATAATAATAAAAAAAATCATGACGCCCTCCATTTACTCCGTGATTGAAGGAGGGCTCCACCCAATGAGATAATTGCACGACAGCAAGTAAAATGCTGAAAGATTTCTATCCAGTGGGCCTATGGCCGACCCCACCCTCTTTTGGGTTGGCCACACCCCCAAGGGCCGCAACCGATTGAAAAGATTCTGGCGGGAAGCTTTCTTTGCACGGGCATGCCCAGTGTGATCAAAGATCTCCTACTTTTTCGGGTAATAAAATCCATGTAAAATACAGACCGTGGGATCACTCTCCAGTACTGCACGGCAGGATTTGGGACGCTGGACCCGGTTTCCAGCAAATTTTCCGGTGACTATTCCGGGTAGAATTGTGAGGTCCCCGGCCTCGACCACCAAGGTGTTTTACCTGTGAAAAATTAAGTGCAAAGTTCTCAAAAAAAAAAAAAAAAAAAAAAAAAAAACTCGTTTCTTTTCTATCCGGCTGCTAGTGGCACCATGCTTCTGGTTCCCTCTGGAGTTTCATGCCTTCCCATTCTCGGTGGGGTCCCCTCATTTCGCAGGCAAACTCTTCCGACGGCTTGTCCGTCGATATCCAAAAATCATTGCTTTTCCAACACTTTTCCGTTACGGTCAAGGCCAAAAACTCCATGCACCATGTGCTGTAGGGAGGGAAAAAAAATAAAATAAAAAAAGGAGATAAAACCCTCCCCCTCCCTCGCACCCCCCAAACCACAATCACTTTCTGGCAATGAATCCATTCACCCTTGCCTTCGCCATTACCCCAACTTTCACAAAACTGGAACACGAAAAAACATGGTTCTCAGTCGAAGCCGGGTAATGGCCCCGGTTCCTCAAATAACTTGCGTAACTCTATACGGGACGCTGGGCCCGGTTCCCAGCACGTGCTGCTCCCCACGAATAGATTGGAGCATTTGTCCCCCCCCCCAAAACGAAAAAACAAAAAAAGGTATTAAATTATGGTGTGCGTCCAGGACCGCCGCAGAACGACCAGCACAAAAAAGGAAAGGAGAACATCCCTATGGGAGAGCAAAAGAAAAAACCAACCCCCTAATACGACGTACGGTCGTTATAGCTGGGTCATTATAGCTCTGTTTGAGGCATCTTTCAGTCTAGATACCTCTATAATAAAGACCGTTCGTCGTATTCGGTGGAAGGTAGTCATTTGGCAAAACAGGTCCTAGGCGATTTCCGGCAGAATCCAAAATCCCACTGGCAAAGAGGATTGGAATGAGTGTCTGAATCTGGACGTCTTTGTGGCGAGGTGCAGAAAACTGTGATTGATCTGCTTTTCTGCATCTCTGGGTGGAACACGTCCAGATTCAGACACTCCAATCGTCCTTGCCTGTGGGATCTGGCCCTAACACACAAGTACGTGGCCAGTGGAACCGCCCCCCAGGGATGAGGACCCACTAACAAAGAGGATTAGATAGGCAGAATGCGGATAGAGATGAGGAAAAGCAGACAAGTTCCTATCTTCTGCATCTTTCAGCAAACACGACCGGATTCAGATCATTAATCCAATCCTTTTTTCGTAGTCGAACATCTTCTCGGGGACAAGCGTGAAAATTGGAACATGCAGATAATCAGACAAATCCCTATCTTGTGACTTATCCACAAACACGTCCGGATTCAGATCATTAATCCAATCCTTCTTTTCTCCTCGAGCGACCTCATCCCACCCTCTAGCTCAGTAGGTTTCCTGCCTGAGCCGCACCGCGTAGGTGCTAGGTTCTCCGTTCTACTCCCATCGCCGTCACTCTCAGTAGCCTGGGGCTAGCTCCCACTTCAACGAATTAAGAGATGCCGACCGTGGGTAGCAAAGATCAACGGCCAAAATCTCGAGTTTTTTTTGAGCGAGTGGGAACTTGAACCTTAGGACGATTGGGGGCCAGGGCATGTATCGACTGTAGAAGTCGCTGGGGCGAGTCGTGCCACCCGGTCCCCAACTTGTTGCAACAAAGGAGCATCCGGCCACGTGGAAGTGGCTGCTCACGTCCTGCTGCGGCCGGTCGGCACACGTCCAATGATGTGAGGAGCGATGAACTGGTTTCCAAGATTATGAAAATGTTGGATAATGAATTTCCTCTCTCGCCTGTTCTGCCTAGGTTTCGCCACGTGGCAGGCGTGGGAAAGAACCACGATCTCAGGGGGCTAGGGTCAGTGCTTTCGTAGGATAGTGCCCTGGGCAGTCAATTCCCTCCCCCACGAGGGCAAAATCAATGTTGTCCGCCGATGATTACGACTAAATTTTGGCTTCTGCTGCGTAAAATGGGACGCCGGACCCGGTTTCCAGCAGGTGCAGCTCCCCACCAATAGATCGGAGCCATCTTTTACGGGGATCCTATTAGTGGAGATGCATTTATCACCTCCACTAATAGGCGTCATTTGCATGTTTCAAACAAACAAAACAAAAACGCTACATTACTTGGGGTTAAAAAAAAAAAACCGAAAAGCAAAAAAGTCCTCATGTGAGTATGCCCTGCTCTGAGTGTGCTGAAGAGCTCTCGAGGAAAAAAACGCAGTCGTTTCTATTCCTTCTTTTCCAAGAGAGTGGCGTGACCTGCAACAGTCGCAATAAAGAAAGAAACCTTTTTTTTAATTTGTAAGTACTTGGTTGATTCTGCCTCGAGATACTGGGAAAAGCCCACATCGAAGAGAATCCTTAAAAACAATAACAGAAGGAAAGCAACGTCGCTATGACAGCGCGCTATCCATCCCTGGGCTAGGTCCCACTTACACGAATTAAGCGATATTGACCGTAGATAGGACAGCAAAGATCAACGGCCAGAATCTCTTAATCCGTGCAAGTGGAACCTTGCCCCCTGTAACCATTCCTTTCTACTCTTTTTTTTTCTTTCTTTTTCTTTCTTCAGAGATTGGAGTGGTGCCGCCGATGGAGGTGCGGCTAACGCAAAGATCGAGCATTGTCAGTAGGTCCGCCTCCCTTTCTCATCGTCCCCCACCCCTCATCGGGTAGCAGCAGAGGCTATGGCCACCACTCTCCCATACATTACACACACAACCCACTCTCGCTCGCACTCACACCCGTGTTGGTCACAAATAGAACCAGATAGTACTGATTCAAGGAAAATTTCCTTTCTAATTTCTTCATTCCTTTTCTAAGAGGGCGACGGCCTTCAGATATCGTCACTAACCAGCGGGATTCGAACTTACATCTGTACTCCAACATTTGATTTCGTGCACCAACTGACATAGGCCCGTTGGTACTCTATCTCTAGAATTGGCTTCCAGTCCTGGAGGGTCGGTCGACCGTTCTCTCAAAGTCAAGATCGTCACTTTCGCTGAGGGCATTTTCTTCGTGGCGAGTTTCTCGACGTGATTACGACCAGATACGTCCACGCCTGCCCTTAAAAGCGGTCAGTTTCATCGAAAGATCCCCCAAGTGTGATTAGGGCAGCAAATGCAGTGACGAAAAGAGTTCCACTCGTGATTTTTTGTCTTTACTTCACGAGCGATTATATCAAGGTAAGGAGACAAGAGAACCTGGAGATAAAACCAATGCGTAGCTATTTCCCTTCTTCGTCCGTGCGTGTGTTTCGATTTCACTTTCCTTTCTCATTGAGCTATAACCTTCGCTCATGTTCACCTCTCACTACCCACCATCCCACAACCCAACGACGACGATGACAGCCAAAATATAATAGAAGAATGAAAAAAAGGCATCTTAGCTCACTCTGTAGACACGTGAGCTCAGTCTGTAGACACATGAACTTTGGAAATACAGACCCGATTTCAAATCCAGATGATGGAACTTCATGAGTAAAACCACATTTTGCGATTTACTGTTTTTTTCTCTAATAAGCTGAACAAAGGAATAAATAGAAAAACAAAATTAAAAATATGAAAAAAAGACGAAGAAACGGTCACGCAATCCCAAGTTCAATGAATCAAGATGGCCAGCACATAACATTTCCAATCCATCAATAAGACGAAGAAACGGTGACGCAAGCCCAAGTTCAATGAATATAGATGGCCAGCACAGCATTTTCAATCCATCAATATCGTCAGTGAATCGCCGCAATCTCAATCCATTTTCGAAGTGCGGTTCGATTAGACTTATTCCGATCTTTCCCATTCAGTGCAGATTGGCCAGAGCGTGTGCATCATCAATGGTCAACGATAGCAGCACGGACAGACCTCTCTTTTTTTCACACTTCCGACTATCTACGTCCTCATCATGATCGTGAGCACACATAATTTGCAAAAAACGAAGATCGCGAGCACACTGCAAGTTCAATCCATCAAGATCGCCAGCACCGGCGTTATCAGAAAAAACGGACACGTGGCAAAAGCCGGTCGGCCATGGGAAGCTGAGAGCGCGCTCAGTCAACGTCAAGTGCTCATGGAAGAGGACAGCTATGCGCCGTTCGAAAGAAAGAAAAGCAATTGCCGTACATTTGCTTCCGGAGACGACAAACCATTGAATCACCAGTCCTACATGCACACACACACGCGCATGTTCCTTGCAGTTCCGCAGGGGACTTGTGCAAACAGGAAGTGCGCCACAAAAACGGAAGCAGAGGGCGCCATACAGCACAAAGCGGAGCCAAACTGCGGGCAAGATGAGGACTTTTCGCCGACTAAATACTCCTTCAAGAAAATAACACCTACGCTCGGTGGCAATGTGGCATTGTCATGCACAGAATCCCTTGCGACTTCAATAAATACACATACACATATATGTATGAAAAGAGGCACAGACTGCCCTACGCAGAGTTGTCTGAGGACTCTCGTCACTGACGCCAAGTCCACCTACTACAATTTCCGGCACCTCGATCGACTTGCCGTCCAGCCGCTCAAGCTTCCGACCGGTCGCTCTACCCTAACCCATAAGACCAGAAACTCGACCTTGCCTCCCGGCCACTCGATCGACTTACCGTCCAGCCGCTCAAGCGTCCGACCGGCCGCTCTACCCTAACCCATAAGACCAGTCGCTCGACCTTGCCTCCCGACCACCCGCTCCACCATCCCACCCGCCACTCGACCTACCAACCAGTCCCTCGACCTGCCGACCACCGGATCGACCTCCTGACCAGTCGCTTGGCGTTCCGACCAATTCATCCATCAGCTGACCTGCGTAGCTTTGATACTACTGGCTTCTACTCCGCTAATGATTCGCCGGCTGGCAGACGTTCACTGACACGTGACAGACTAGCAGGTTTCCCAGATGAGTTGCAAGACTTGCACGAGAGCCAGATCCTGAGAGTCGATGGTGACGATTCCATTCTTTCGTGAACTGCCGGGATTAACGCGCACCTCCGACAAGAGATTTAGGTCTCTTTGCACCGCACACTTGCTGTACACCGCGGACATAAATTGGTCCGTGAATTCGAAGTTGTTGTTGAAGCGACCCTTGATGGTGCGGCTGACTTTCGCCGTCCCCAACAGACCAGAGAAGTAGTACTGCGTCTTCACCGTCCCCGTCACGCCCTTCTCGAGGTTAGCATACCCGCGCAGTGTGACCGTCCCCACCTTCACCACGAAGCCACGTGGATAGCTGAGGCCGACCGTCACAGTGCAGGCCTTCCTTTGATCCGCTAGCGCCCCGTCCGTCGTGGCAGTGTAGTTGCCGTACATCACCGTCAGCGCCTTGCCGTCATTGGAAATGGACCCCTGCGTGGTCCCGGGAGGACAGCCGCTCCCGGCGGCGCTGAAGTAGTTGATCCGAACCGAATCCGCGGGGGGCGAAATGGCGGACGCATGGGCTGCCAGCTGAAGGACAAGCACCAGCAGCAGCAGTGGCGCAGCCGCCGCCATAGTCGCCGTCGGACCCCCGAATCGACGATACACTGTCTGCATGATTACAATCAACTCTCCAACTACAGCTCTCGTCTCCTTTTCTCTTGTTCTTCTTGGATATGGCTTCCCGAGCAACACCTTCGACGATGAGAACCTCTGCCGGTTATGGCGTCCTAGCCCGCGGAAGAAGACGATCCTCCTTTCCGAGACACGTCGGATCCGTCGCTCTCTCTCCTCTTTACCTCCACCACCGACGCAGCAGGAAGGATCCGCTCGCCTCTCCGCTACACAAAGATCACGGACACCCACGAGTCCAAAATGCCACGCCCGTCCTTACAAGAGCACAGGCAGCCCTATCTATAGGCCTCGCCGCACGGGAGGCAAACGGGTAACTTGCAAAACACATGCATGACGAGAACACAGAGCACGGGAAGCCGACGTAAGAGGCTCGCCACACAGACAGAAAAATCATAATAATAATAATAAATAAATAAAATTCGAAAAATACCTTTCTCGGCCTTTTGGCGAAGATCAAGTGTAGTATCTGTTCTGATCAGTGGTCCGTCGGGCCACTACGAGGGGTCAAATGGGGAGGCTTGCCTGCTCGACCCCTCCAGTGCCTCCACCGTTGCCTCTGTATTGCACTGCAGCAGAGTGTGGCGCAGCCCTCCTCCCCTCCGGGGAAACCAAAAAAAAAAAAAAAATCGAAAGTAGGCGGTCGACAGTTTACCTACCCCTCCTTAGCCACACTGGCTGTCCAGGGGCAAGGTTTTTGGTCATGGCCAGATGGACTCCGCCTTTCGACAGGGGACGACGGAGCAGCCCCTGTCCTTGACACCCTGAGAATGCAAATTCGAACCCAATTCTCAGAAGGCAGGTGGGGCACTTTCAAATTTCTGTCTCCTGCATGCTGGAGGAAACGAATAGGGGAGGGTGGCTGTCGAGCGTACCACTCTGCCACCTGTCCAAATGCGCAGCCAGGGGCTGGCTGGGTCCCACCTGCTGGCGTTGTAGTTGTACTGTGTGACTGCAACGATTGTGGGCGACTTGTGCGCGGCGTAGATGGCCGCTTCATCTCACGGACACTGTTTGTTGCCCGTGCAATCTTTTCCATTTAGGGTTTCGCAGGTTATCGCGCTTGCATTTTTGAATTGGTTGGTTAGCCCCTTGTCGTTGTCATTGTCGGCCCTGTACAAAACAGCATCCTGGGGCAAGGTCCCACTTGCACGGATTACGAGATTCTGGCCGTTGATCTTTGCTATAGACGGTCAATATCGCTTAATTCGTGTAAATGGGACCTAGCCACTGGTGGAAGTTAATGTTTTAGTATGAAGAGTGTGGGGAGGTGGTATCCGGATCCAAACACAGGCACACCTGGGGAGGTCGAGGATATGGTAGAGGGTGGTTGTCAGACAACTCAGTGGAGGACCCGGTCAGGAGTTTTTCTCCCTTCGCTTTAGAGTCGCAGGTTGACACCACCCACTGACAAGCGGAGAAACTAGCCGGCAGTTCCGTGCACATTATGAAGGGTGTTAACAAAACCATGGCTGAGGGGAATAACACACTTCTGCAGTGCTTCACAATGATTTCCAGGTCAATGGCTGGACGACATTCATCTGCTCTCGACGACGGTGAAGGTCACACTGTCAGTGATAATCGTCACACCCGTGGGATGTAAATGTGACATCTTTGTGTTTGTTTGTGAAAACCGCTGTGATGTCAATGATTTCATGGTGTTCGATTTCTGCGTTCTCCCACCCCTCCCCTTCCCCCCCCCCCCCCGATCTTTTAAAGTGTTCTTATGCGTTTAAGTGTTGTTCATTTTGCATTCTTGGGTGCACATGCAGCGATGTTCCCGCAATGGTTGGGAATGACAACTTCCCGAACACGTTTGGCGTGCCTCATCACGTTCTTGGAGGGTATAATGAATACGTTATTTGACGTGCTTGAGGTCTTCCCAACCCATCACTCGATTATCGAAGGTTACCGACATGACGAACGATTTCACACTCACCCATAGACGACTGATAGAGCATGCCCTCAAGCTTGCCAGGAAAATGGGTGTTCTGTTCACACGTGTGTCCGAGATGGTGGGGGAGTTGGAAAGGCTGCAGGCAGAGTCGGATAGCGTGAACTTGCGAGAGGCAGTGGCTTTTTCAACAACGGAAATGGGAAAACGAACAATTGTCACGCCGCGGGAGGACATGGCACGTCAACAACATTAATTATCACTTTATGAACAGGGCTTCCTGGACTTGCCAACAGATAGTGACAATTTTGTGACCATTGTGCAGAGCTCTGGTAGATGGCGGGCAGGCACCGTAACAAGTGTTCATGTGTCTATTGACCGTGCACCATAAACAATCCCGTTAAGAGTTCACTCACACCGATGTCTAAGCACGACCCCTGCCACTTGGCAGTCTAGCGTCGTCCCTGGGCCCACATCTCCAAAGGTCAACTGTCGTGAAGTGACGGTCGTGGCGGATCAATTGCAAAGGCAATGACCATGGAGGGTGATTCCTCTCAAGGGTTAGGCCATTGACGTTCACCAACGACTGCCATGATGCAGAGAGTGTCGAAATTGGACCGCAGATGAACTCACGATGGGTTGGCGGTGGGGGTGGTGAGGGTGTTTGCCATAACAGCATGTTTCATTCACTTCACTCGCTCATTTCGGGTATGTCCTTGCCACAGAGGGAAGAGGGACGTTTGCTGTTAATATCGCGGTGCCTCCCCCAAGGTTTATGCTTCCTGTTGACAGGAGGTTAGCTGGCAGTGCCTTCATTTCTAGCAGATTAGCTCCTACAGTCGATAGGCTGGTGTTTTGGTCAGGTTGTAGACCGTGACAGGGTGGACGTTGTTGTCGGGGTGAGTTTTTTTTTTTTTTTTTTCCTGCTCCCTTGCGTGGCAGTCTATTTCGTAAGAGTCGTAGCTGCAGTGGCTGTGCCGATTTCCGAAGTTTATTTTTGATGAGTGCTATGGTGTTGTTGTTGTGGCGAACGAGGTCATCACGAAATGGTATTAGAATCTTCTTTTCGTAACTAATTTTATAACGGATAGATGTTTATTGTCTTCACGAATGTTACCCTGCCAAGAACATGCATTTCTTCCTCTGCTTCCCCCCACATCATGTCTGCAATTCAACCTTGCTCACCCTAAATGCATTGGCGTCCTAGTTGCGTATTCCCAAATGTGTCGCCACACATTGTTCTTGTATCTTTCAAATTTTGTCCCTGCTTTGTATTTCCAAAGGCAAGCAAAAAGGTCAGAACTCGCTGGGACTTTCTCTTTGTTTATGGATGACACTCTGTGCCATGAGACACTTCGTACACAAAGCAAAATAGTACAACGACTCTGTGACTACATGCACATATCAAAAACATACTTTAGAAATTGCAAAACACAGATGTGAATTTTAAAGAATGGGGCAGGAAATTCACAATAAAGTAGTGGATGTTATGACCCTGGCCAATTTCGAGATACACATCCACTGAGAAGTACAATGCCATCCAATTGCAGAAAGAAATGAATGAACTTGAGAGGAGAGA